GAAAAGCGAACGGAATGTGCCTGAGAACGACGCGCGCGAGTAAGTGCGATGCAACAATGTGCTTAAGCGCTTTGGCCTGCGCTTCTGTTCTGGCATGCGTAACAGTTTGCGCAACGCCGCTCAACTCTAGAGCTCGGAAGATTAAGCTGCTCAGCGGCTCTGCAGGGCACGTTGCTAGCACGGCAGTCAGTGAAGTTCGCAGCTCATTTGGAAAAGCACTGTGCTCCAGCAGTTTGCTCACTGCGAGCGGCTCTACGACCTGATCAGTCGCGATGCGGTGCGGATCCGCATCTGAAGTATCTCTGCACGCATGCTCTTGATTGTTTCTAGTTTGCGAAAGCTGCGATTCGAAGATCGCTAGCCGCACAGCGCCAATGCAGCAGACTCTGAGTGTGGAAGCAGGGTTCGCCGTAGCAGTGAAGAGCAGTGAAAAAAAGAGAAGCCGCGCTCGAATGTCATTGCAAAGAGGACTCGCTGCTCGGCCAGGCACACCGACCTCGGTCTCAGCACGGTAGGTGCAGAGCAGGCACAGCGCGCAACGATCTGCGACGTCGAGCCGCGCTTGCCGCTGCGCTATGGAGCACAGCAGCGCGTCGTACAGCAGTAGGCAGTCAGAAGTACTGTTTGCTTTGCAGTAAAGCAGGAGCGAGAAAGCTCTGCGTGCGCGCGAGCTGTTTAACCCTTCGTTGCACCAGTGCAGCGCGAGGAAGAAGATCAGGTGGCAGTGCAGAAAACAATTCAGCGCATCGCTGCGAAGCAAGCTGCAGACGAAGCAAGCTAGCTCTTGGTCCAGTACGGATTGTGCATCCACAGACGCGCACGCCACGGCGGAGAAGTGCGCGACAAATGCAGCGCGAAGCACAGTGAGTTTGCAAATCTCTTGAGTGTGGCGGCTGTAAAGCTCAAAGGTGACCTCGGTAAAGCCTAAGACGTATTTACTACACTGTGCGCAGTAGTTGTCGTTGGTTCTGCGACTAGCAATTAATGGTGCTCCAAGCGCTGTGGCGACACCGTTCCCGCCACCAGGCTGGATTAGCTCGCAGAGCAGATGGTAAGCAGGGCCTGGTTCTGCGAACGCCAGTCTCGTCAGCAGCGCAATTATCTGCAATAAAGCTGTCGCGTCGGGGGCCGCGCTGGTGAAACTGCCCTGCTGCCCGCAAGCGAGCTGGTGGTATTCTGCGCGCAGCGCGACGAGAATCGATCTGTGCGACTCTTCGGTAATATGCAGCCTTAGAATCTCTTGCAGCTGCAGAGTGCTCTCGGCTTCGCAGAGCGACCCAACGCTCCTCGCCAGCAGATCACCTGTCGAAGTCCACAGAGCTTTCAGAAGCGTCGTGGACAGCGTCGAAGCCGCCAAGCCGCCAACAGCGCAGTACGGCTCGAATCCGATGTGCGCGTCTTGAAACTGCGCGTCAAAATTCTCAGCCAGCTCTGCGATGTCTTCGAGTGTTGTTGGCACATCGGTTCCTTCTGTCGCGGCGAAGTGCTCTGCAGTTTCGCTCAGCACGTCGCGGCAAACTATGAGGTCTAAGACCGAGCGACAGGATCCATGCATCGATAAGTTGTGCTCGTCGTCCGGTTCGAAGCTTGAGAACAGAAAAAAAGTCATTTGGCTCTGGCTTATGTCGAGAACATCGCTCGAACTTTTTTCCGTGCAAAGCCGCAGAATCGCTTTTTTCGACTCGACGTACGCTGCTTTAAACCACATCTTCTGCACCGAAGACAGGTGCGAAAACCTGTTCGCACAGTTGAATAGCATGCTCGAAATTGCGGCGCCGATTGAACTTTGTGCAAAAGACCAAAAGACGCCGTTGTAGCCAGCCGAAGCCAGCAGAAGCGAGCAGGTTTTTGCGACTTCCTTCTCGCTCAAAATGTCGGCGCACTGCATGCATAGTTCGAGCAGTGCAGTAAGGTGTTGCAGCAACGCGTCCTCATGACTGCTGCGCGTCTGCGCGTCTGCCGGCGAGCTGGCTTCACGCGAGTGCGCGAGGACCGCGACACGTGCCTCTTGCGAGCCTCCTTCGCGAAAATGCGGGACGCCAGGCGCGCATATCGCCATGAGCTTGTTCTGTATAAGCAGTTGATGCGTGGCGCTCCGGTAGGCTCGCGGTGAGAGACGCTCAAAGCGAGTGATTGTGATTGGCTGAGGATTGCGCAGCAGGCTAAAGCTAATTGAGAGCGAATTTGCGACCGCAGCGCGGAGAAACGCGGTGACTACAGCCATTTTCAACGCTGGGCTGAGTGACTGCATTTGCAACGCGCCGGCGCTTCGAGAAACTTGCAGCGCGGCGCAAAAACGCTGGTGAAAGTAGCAGTCGGAGTGCAGCGTGACCCACTTGCGGGCCACTGTGCGGTCGTAGATTGCTTCAAGCATATTGTCAGAAACGGCCTCGAGGCCTTCACAGTGTTTACAGTTTCGCAGAAAGCCAGTCTTCGTCATTTTGGTGTGGACCTCCGGGTTGTGCGCGTCGGTGTGCAGCATGACTGTAGCGAAAGAGAGTACGTACGCCGCATCTTGCGATAGCGGCGCGTTCGCGCCCGCTTCGCTGTTCTGCTGCACGTACACCCGTGCAAAGTCTTCGACCATACGGTCGATTTGCTGTGCTTCGCCCGGCAGCTGGGTAAAGGTGAGTGCCTTGCAGAGCGCTGAGTCAACTTGCAAACCGGCGAGATTGATACGGCGCAGAAAGCAGCGGAAAACGGCCCGCGCCTGTGGGTCTGGGTCTCCGAAATAGAGTCCTAAGGTCTGCGGACTCACGTTCTGGCAGCGGAGAAACTCGACAATGTGTTGCGACTCCGGGCGCAGCACGCGCTGGTTGATGAGCAACTTGATCGCTTTGCCCGGCTGCGCGTTGAACATAGTAGCGCCGGCGCGCAGCTGCGCTTTCAAAGCTTGCAAGCTGCTGAAGCTCCGACAGCTGTCAAGGACCGATTTCTCAAGCATCGCGCACTGCAGCAGTGGGATGAGAGCACGAAATGGTGCCGGTTTTGTCTGCGCGGCGCTTAGCGATTGTGCTACGCGTTGTAGCATTGAGATCACTTTGTGCTGGAGGGCGAGCCACCAACAGCGGATCAGCCAGTTGCACTCTGCGGTCTCTGTGGTGGCGAAAGAGCGTTCAACTCGCGATTGTTCAATCGAGCGATGCGTAGCTAGACCGTGCAAACCTGTTGCAGCGGCGTGTGCGCTCGTGAAGCCGAGTTGCGAAAATACGGCCTGCGAGAGTTTTGCGAAAACGGACTGCGTTTCGGGTTTGAAGTCGATAAACACGAGCTCGGCGAAATCGACTTCGGATCCCAGCAAGGCGGTTTCAACGCACTTCGTCAAAGCGGACATTGATCTGACGCTCTGCTGAAAGTGCCTCAATAGCAGCGGAAAAGTATCCGAGATGAATGTAGCTTTGTTGAAGACGCTAACCTGCGAGTCGCGCAGCAGCGCAAACAGCTGCTGTTGCGCAACTACTGCGTCCGTCGCTGCAATAGAGGCACACGGCATGCGGAAGAGAACGTTCGTGAGCAGCAGTTGCAATTTGTTTGCGAGCAGCGCGACGCAGGGTGTTGTGTAGTGAGGCGTCAGGGCGGCTACGAGCGCATGAAACAAGTCCCACAATTTTTTGCTCTTGAGCCCGGCCTCCAGCGAGCGCACTAGCGCGCTGAGAAGTGCGTCAACTGCGAGAAATACGGTGACGACGTTGCAGCATACCGCAGCGTGGCAACCGCAGCGCGGCGATTGCGGCTTGTGCATCGTTCTGGAGCTCGCAAGCGGTCTCCTGAGAACGTCAGGGAGCGACGCAGCGGTCTGAATCTGGTTCGCGACGCCCACGTCGTTGTCTGCTGCGCAGTCGCTTTTTCGCGGTTCTTTGTGCTGGGTGCAAGCGAGCTCGATGTTAGTAGCGCGGTCGCGTGGCAAGGCGCAGTTACGCTGGCTAGCCTCTGCGAACTCGTGGCAGCCTAGGTGCACGAGCAATGAGTTGGGCTGAGGCAAGGCGCCACTCTTCGACTTGCGGCAGGTTGCCGCGCTTTTGCTGCTGTGCGCATCCTCTGCGGCGGTGCAGCACAAACCGTCAGGAGACAGACAATAACCGAAAAAAGCGAAGCAATCGGCGAACGCAGTTAGGTATGGCGAGCTGGCTCGAGCGCTGTTTAGAGCGCAGTCGCTGCCGGTTTCGGCGAGTGTCGCGAACGCTGCACGCAAGCGCTCTTTGAATAGCGCAGGCACTTGTTGGACGATCTCGATGACGCTGTTGTACCGCGTAGAAATGCTTCCGTGCGGTAGTGCGTGGATCCAACACAGTTCCGCATCGCCGACCTGTTCATCGCAGCGCCGCGAGAATTGCAGTTCGCAGTAGCTTTCGAGCTGCGCGTTTGCACAACAGCACAGGTTGCTGCGGCTGAGGCAGTTTGTGACTAGCTGCGCAAAAGCCATTTTCAGCACGCCGTCACTCTTGCTTGGCGCGGTGAGATTGAACTGCTGCAAGAAGAAGTGGTAGACAGCGTGCGAAAGCAGCGCGAACGAATGGAGGCTCAGCTGTAGGATTCCGTTGAGCACCTCTTCGTACGCACATGTGCCTGGTTCTACCTTGTTCAACGCGAAGCAGTAACACTCAAATGCGCTAGACTGCTTCGCGGCGACGCCGTCGTGCAGTTGCGAGAAGAGGTTTTTGACGACGCGCGACTCCTTGCTCTTTAGCAGCTTTTTGACGACATGTGGCTTCAAAACGAACACGCGATCAGAGCTTTGCTCGCGCAGTCGGTTGTTACCTTTGATTTTTACTCCGCTCGGGTGCGAGGCGGCTGTCTCCCGCATTCATGAAATGTGCTTACTCGCTCGGCAAACTAGCTCTGCGCGCGCGGCTCATCCGTGCAGACTCAGGACTGTGTGCATGCTAAATTTAATATGAAATTGAAATAGCGAGAGCGCGGTGCGGAGCGGTGCGCTCTGCGAAATTCAGACCGTGAATTGCGTTGCATTTAATATTTATGTGATTGCGCTTTTTCCGCTAATGCCCGCCAAAGCTAAGAACGCGCCTTCAAAGAAGGCCGTGGAAAAGGAGAAGCAGAAAATCATCGAGGACAAGACTTTCGGCTTAAAGAACAAGAACAAGTCGAAGGCAGTTCAGAACTACATCAAGTCCGTGACGCAGCAGGTGAGCGGCGGCAGGTGCAGAAACGAGCATGAGGCTCGAGCTGAGACGAAAGAGCAGGCAGAGAAGAAAAAACTTGAGAAGCAAAGAAAGCTCGCCGCATCGCTGCGCCGCACGCAACTCGCGGCGGAACAGCTGCGCATACAGGCCGAAAAGGCTCAGGGCGCTGCGACCAAGGACGGCAAAATCAACGTTTACGTAGACCCGCGGAACTGTGGTGGCGGTATGGATAACTGGGACATGGAGACTTTGACTCGTGCGGTTGAGACGAAGCACCAGGCGGCGAACCGCAACAAGACGGACATCATTTGCAAGTACTTCTTGAGCGCGTTGGAAAACAATTTGTACGGCTGGCGCTGGGAGTGCGTGAACGGCGAAGCCTGCATGTACCGGCATGCGTTGCCGGCGGGCTATGTGCTGCAGAAGAAGGCTGCGGCAGCGAAGCCGGATGCGGCCACGGTGCCGCTGGAAGAACAGATCGAGGCCGAGCGCGCGGCACTGCCTTCTTCGCTGCCACCGGCCACAAAAGAGACTTTTTTCGAGTGGCTGAAGATGCGCGAGCGCCAGTTGGCTGCTGGCGACGCAGATTGCGCTGTGGCAAGTGGACGCGGACTCTCGGGCCGCTCGTACATAGAAAAAAACAGCGCGCTGCTGGAGACGGACACGGTCGCGGGCGACAGTTCGGACGACGACCTAGTCAGTCAGTTGAGACGCGAAACGCGACAAGAACTCGACGCGCTGGACAAAAAATTGATCGACGAAGCGATTGAGCATGCGAACAGCGCGAAAAGGAAGCTCAGCGAGAATTTGCTGAAGGTCGCGGAAAGCGCTATTGACAAAGACGTCGATTTGGAAGCGTTGAACGCAGTGCTCTAATTCGGCTGTTCGGGCGAAAACTTGCGGGTCGGACGCCGGTAGTAGCCAGGGTTGTAGTGCGAAATCATCGGATACGGCGTCTGACTCGCAGGCGTGCGCGGCCGGTTGAAGCCGCGGATGTTGCGCCGTTTCAGGTTTACCTTGAGCGTGCGGCCGTGGAAGGTCGACTCGTGCAACTGCAACGCGGCCGTTGCGGCTGCGCGGTCCTTGAACTCAAGGTACGCGTAGCCTTTGGGCTTGCCAGAGAGCCGGTCAGTTAGAATTGTGATGCGCGCAATGGGCCCGCAAGCTTTGAAGTGCTCTTCTAATTCTATCGGAGTCGCGCTGTAGTCGACGTTGCCGATGTAGATGCTATTGTTCATCACTGCGTCGCCGGCGGCGGCGCTGAGGGACTGCGCGGCTTGCTGCGCAGCGGGCTCCTCCATGCTGTTAGTCTCAGTTGTGCCTTGCGGCGCAACGCTGTGCTGGCCGAGTTCTGCTGCAGAGTCGTTCATGCGGTGCGTCTTGCCATTTAAACGAAGCAAAATTGAAATTATTAAGCCGCGCTGGGCTCGCCGCTGAGTGCCTCGCTGCGCTGTAATGCTTTCGTCAGTTTCGCGAGCTTTGCTTCATTTTTCTGCATGTATATAGCCGCCAACTCGAGATAAGCTTTGACGGTCGCGGCATTCGCCAGCGGCGAGCCGTCTGCCGCAAAAAGCGGCACTACCATGCGGTGTGAGCCGTGCAGCGAGAGCTGATAGCCGCGGCTAGGTGAGAAACCAGTGATGCCGCAATCCTGCACGCCTGCCGCCTGACACGCTGCAAGGACGAGCAACGCTGCATCGAGCGAGGCGGCCTTCACATGGAAGATGAATGGTTCGAAAATTAAGCTGCACTGCAGGCGGCCCGCTGTGGTGTGTTGCGTCTTGCGAAACTGCGTCAGATTCGCGCGCGCATAAAATGGCACAGGGTCCGCGAGAAGAGCACACACGGCCTCCGTGTCCGGCAGCTCCGCAGCGCTGTGCGCTGCGAAGGAGATGAAGCCATTGTGCTTGGTCGAGACGTCGCGCGTGCTCATCGACACGCAGTCGACATACAGCTGGAAGCGTCCGCTGCAGCTGCTCGTCGTGTATAACTCCGCATGCGCGTTGATGCAGTCGCAAATCTCTCGCGCGCCAACGTCTATCTGAGCCTTCAGACTGCGATCCTTCTTGGCCGCGTTGTCGCTCGGCGCGCTGCCCTGCAATGGAGCAGCAAGCAGAGCGTTCAGCTGCTCTTCCGCGTAAATAGAGCGTAGCGCTGCTCTCTTGCGCAGGTGGAAGCGGCGAGCGTCCAAAGCCACCTGCGTCATTACGCCAAGGTAGAGGTAAAAATAAAATATATATAGGGCGCTCATTGAGGAATCACCATCGCCTCGCGCAGCGCGGTGAGACGCTTTCCAAGAATCTCTTCGAACAGCGTGAAGGCGAAGTGCCAAGCAGTTCCGGGGCCTTGGCTGGTGATGATTTTTGCCTCGCGGTCCACATGCGACTGTGTAGTTGCGTCTAGCAGGTTTTCGCCTAGTTTAGGCTGCAGCGAAGTGTATCAATCTTCCTTAGCGTCCCCGAGCTCGCCAAACTCCTTCAAAATGGCGAAAGGCGACGCGCAAATCGCGCACAACCAGGCACCGCTTTGTTTTTGCCGCCTGATGAACTCCACGAATTTTGCGTTCTTCTTGACTTCGAAACTACCTGGGCCGCCAGGCAAGATCACGACGTCGAACGTGTCGTTCTCGTAATCGAGCGGCCGGTCTGCTATGACGGCCAGTCCTTGCGAGGCACTCACGCGCTCAGGACCCACGCTGAGAACTGTCAGCGTCAGATCCTCTTTGAGGCGGCGCCCGACCGCGATCGGGAACGTTCCCTCAACGAGTTCGAAGCGGTCAAACAAAACAACGGCGACTTGCAGCATAATAATATCTCAAAAATTAGTTCATTACGTTTGCAAACTTTTCGATGTGGTCCGCTTCATCGAACAAGTCGCCTACACTGCTTGTGAGTTGCGTCATGCGCGCAATTGCCGCGTAGAGAGAGATCGTTGGCACGCACTGGCAGTCGCAGAAACTTGCCATTTGTTCTTTCCAGCGCTCGTCAAGCTTTCGCTTCGTGTGTCGGTGCGGGTCGACGCGGCAGATCCTGTCTCTGCACGGCGGCGTAACTGCCTCAGGCGCGCCGCTTTCCGCGGATTGCGACGAGACCGACTGCACCGCGAGCTTTTCGAAACCTGACTTGAAGCTGAGCGTCAGAATCAAATCGCTGATCTCGGATGAAGGCGTCGAAATCGCCCAGTTTTCGTTGCTTTGCAACGGTTCTGTGATATCTGATAGTTTCTGTTCGAGCTGGTCGAGCAGTTCTGTGTTGTTCATAGTCGGACGGCAACGCAAATCAGTTAGTGCATAATCGCGGAAAACTTCGTAAATCGCGTTTTCCGCTCGCAATCTAGATCCGCCAAATCTACCGCCTTCTTGAGCACGGCCTCGCTGATGTCGAATCCGTGCTCGTCCGCCAGCGCACGCAGCAGCTCGAGTGCTGAACGCTGCTCACCAGACGCCAAGAGTTGTGCGTACAGCTCTCGCTTTTCAGTGGCTGAGTAGTTTTTCTTAGCAAACAGCTTGTTGTTCAGCGCGGTCAGCTGTGCGCTGAACTCCGATGCACTAAGTGTTTTGCCGCGGTGCGTGTCAACCAACAGCAGAATGGGGTATAAGTGCTGCAGCTGCGCGTCGCAGCGGAAGTTTCTGAGGCGCTGCAGGCAAGCTTCGATGTCTGACACACGAATCACATCACTGGACCCGCCGCCCAGCAGGGCGAACAGTAAATCCACTTCATCTTCGTAGTGTAACATTTCGGCGTTGCTTGTCAAAGATTTCGCCCGTCTCCCGCTGCGCGACAGCACGACGCACCGCCTCTGTGTGCGAAATGTTGAGCAACGCGGAAACACGAATTAATTATTTAGCATTTTCCCGACACTGATCAGCGTAGCGAACTAGGGAGAGAAGTGCAGAGCGACATATGTGCAAAGAGGTATCATTTGCAGTGCTGCGCGTTGCACTGTGCGCAACCGCTGCCGATGCGTTTTCAAATCATACTACTAAGTCGTGCACTGTGCACAACAGCTGAGTTATAAATTTGATTATTATTTTATCCATTGACCCGCGAGAGCCGTTCATACTTTATAGGAGCGGCGCCCGGCGGAAACCGAGGGAATTATTTTCAGCGACTGTGCTCGTTAGGATCTGTTATACAGTTCACTAGCATTACGCAAGCCAAAAACTTGCAAACAACCAAGTACGCTTTGATGAGTATCGCTTGACGGTTTCTTGATTCAATTAGCTTCGGCTAACAGATGATTGTACGGCTGTCGAGCAATCTGAGCGTATAATAAGTTTTGTGAGTACATAGTTACACATTGCGGCTCCCATTACTGATGCAGACGCCTGCTGCAACCAGCCAGTCAAAGCCGCTAAACAGCTGTACTACTTTCTGGCCCACACTGTTGCGTGGCTTCTCTCGCAATTGTAGAATTTAGCACGACAAATCTAATAATATAAGTACTGTTTCTGTTTGATTGGCGGATAGTAGATGAATTTGTGTATGTCGTCGGCCGAGTTTTGGGCGAGCTCTTTGCGCTTGATTTTACTCTCTTGTATGCGAATGGTGCGTGTTTCTCCGTTTTCCGTCTCAAGCAGCTGCTCTGAGTAGCGCTTTGGCAGCTGCTTCTTCTGACGTTGTTTGTTGCTTTCCCGTCTATAAGCTTCATTATGTGCGCTCAGAAGTGCCGGAGTTAGCACAGTTTGGGGTACCAGCGGACCGTTCCCTGGCGTTGCACTGTTCTGCGCGAGAGGTATGTTGGGAGGCGTGTAGAGCGGCTGCTGATGTATCTGGTCGAAAAGCCGCAAGTCATTCTCGTTCAGCGTTGCCAACAACTTCACAACCTTTTTGTATGTGCGCGGGTCCATGTTGCCGACTGGGTTTACTTGATCTACGAGCGACGTTTGGTTGTTCATCATTGCAGGAGCGGCGACCGGCTGCTCAATTGGCATGTTGGGAATTAGCTGAGTTGTCGGAATTGGCGCCACGGCTGTTGCTGGCGGCCTGTTAAACAAGTTTCGCAGACTCGAATAATCGAAGCCGTTTCCCATCCATGTGCCAAATAAAGAGCCCAACACCGAACCTAAGAAGCCTCCCTTCGTGCCGCCCATTGCAGAGGCTATTGGCGAGAAGGATTGAAACGTAGACTTCGCGGCGACCCCACTGCTATCGGCTGCCATCGGCTCGGCGCTAGGCTGCTCCTTCTCGTCCACGATGGTGTATTTGGTCGCCTCACTAAGCGGGCTTTGCGCTGCACTCTGAATGCGGTGTAACCAGTCGAGCGAGCTGTACCCGTACGCGTACAACAAATACGGGGGCAGACTGCTGAGTTTCATGGGTACTTCGCGAAAATTTCTAGAGCGAAAGTCCCGAGTATGGAAAAGTGCAGATTTACGGTTGGTACGTTTTGATCCAGTCGTTGAAACGACGTCGCAAGTCGACTCGCGGATTCTTAATGTGCTCACCATTAGCGCGCGCCTCCTGTCTGTCAAAGTCTTTGTTTCTTACATGAGCGCGCGGACCGTCTGGCTGGCTCGGCTCGATCATCGAGTCGAACAAGTCGTCGCTCGACAGCGCGTTCGCATCCGGTGCCCCCGCTCTGCTTCTTGAGCTGGATCCTTTGTGTGGGATCTCGTACTGACCTGTGCGCGGTGAGACTTGCTTCGGCGTTGGAATTGATCTGGTTTCCGACAGGATCAGTTTTGCTTCACCGCCGTCGGCCCAGATGATTTTCTTCGCAGCTGAAGCGTGGGATTGAGCGATTTCGAGCGCGCGGTCGTGGAAACGGTCTTCGGCGTTGTACTGTTTGATCACCTCTTCGATGAAATTTGGTTCTGGAAGCAGTACGTCTGATCCTACGCGCAGTTCAGGTACGTCATCGGCTATTCTCGAAACGGTTCGTTTTGCCAAGACCATGGTTGGCGCCGGTTCATCGACAAAGATCCAGCGTTTTGCGATTCGCGTTTGCTCAATTGGTTCGTGTTGCAGTGTGCTCACCTTTATGACCTTGGTTCCTGGCTGCGCGAAGTCGCGTTCGTCGCTCAGCGCGCTTTCATAGTAGTGCAGCTCGTGGTCTTCAGACTGCGAAGGCATGATTACGTCATACCCTCTGGTCGGTTGCGAATAGTAATCGTAGCGCTTTTGAGTTGTCCAACGATTTGGCTCGGTTGCGTAAAGGTTATGCGGCTCCGCTTGCGTGCGTGTAGCGGGTGCGGTAGGCTCGGCGTAATTGCGGTACGAGTAGTACGCGCTGTACGGAGCGTTTGCCGATGTTGTTCTCGCGAGCGACATGTAGTTCTGCATCTCTTGTTGGGCTGAGTTGATTGTGCTCAGCAAACTGTTCAGTGCTTTTTTAGTCGTGCCGTGAACCTTCTCGCTCTGTCGCCGCAGCATCGAAGACAGTTCAGGGGATACTTCGCCGGAATAGCGCCTTACTGAGTGGAAGTTGCTCACTTCCATGCAGGGCAGTGCTGCTGCTGGTTGCTTGTTCTCCTTGCGCATGCGGCGATAACTGGTTCGGTTTTCTGTCTTACTTACTTTCGCTTGAAGGAGTTGTTGCCGTAGAGTTGCGCGTATTCGTTTTTACCCTCGCTAAGCATGCGCTGCCTTTTGCTGCCGCAGTTTCCGAAGTAGCAAGCCGCTGGATGTAGCAGCAGTGGCTCGGCGGGAATAGTTCGCACCATCCGCGGCGGATACATTTGCGGTTCGACGAATCGCGGTGATAGCATCGTCGGTTGGTACACCGGAACCTCTGGCATCGGCTCGGCCTTCTTCACCTTGCGCGTGGTCTTTACCGGATGAATATGGTGAATGTATTCATGCCTTGTTTTCGTTTCGACGAAGGGCGTGGTGATGACTACGGGAACTGGCGGCGTGGTCGCAACGAAAACCGAATTCGTTGTTGGAACGGGAATCGGCTGCGTCTGCGGCGGCAAGGGTGTCGTACTGACGTGCTCCATGACGACGTGCGGCACGAAGTTCACGTGGTCGTGATACACGAGTTCCGAATGCTGTTCAATTACAGGCAAGAGCGTCGTTCCGATCACTACGGGGCCTGGAGTCTGGATCGGGTAGGGACTTACTGGCTCGAACGGCATGCCGGTAGACGGCGGCATCAGGCCGGAGCCTGTCGGCATTGCAGGAACCCCGCCGATGTTGCTAACTCCCGGCCTTCCGTAGGTAGGAGGGATCACAGGGTACTGCGGAAGGTAGTTCGGGTAGTTCGGGTAGCTCGGGTAGCTCGGGTATGTCGGAGGGACCGGGTAAGCCGGCGTGTGGATCACATGCACGGGATGTTGCGGTGGAACATACATCGGGTAGCCGGGTATCGAGTTAGGAGCGTGCAAGCCGGTCGTCGGGATTGGCCGCGGATTTACCGGCCCCATGTTGTTAGGCGCAGCACCCCCACGGTTATTGTAGAAGCTGAATGTGCCACCGACCTGCGTAGTGCTCGGGTTTGAGCGCCATGAAGACAGGTCACTGTCTTGCAGCAAGTTCTTGTCGTAAACTTCGAGTTCCGAGTCAAAACCCATGAGAGGCTCGCTGAACATGTCCGAGATCGCAGACTCGACGCGCCCGAAGTGGTCGGGGTCGCTCGACGTTCGGTAGCCGTTGACAGTGTCGTCAATTATTGAGCGCACGAAAGTTCGCGTGTCACCAAGAGATTCAAGGCACGAGGCAGACTGCAACGCAATCGCAACGAGGTTGAGGTAACGGAACTTCATTGCTCTAGTTGGAGAATTTCAGCAGGAAAACTTGCAGTGTGAAAAAAGAGCTATCCCAAATTCGAAAAACTGATGCCAGGAGGGAGATCGACAGTGTACATCTTGGAACGTTTCCAGAGTGGTTCGCGATTCCGCCCTGCGCTTTTGCTGCGCTTGTAAAGCTTCATAGTTTGTTTGTCGGACGGGTCGATCACGACCTGCACGTTGGTGATCGGAATCGGCGCAGGCGAGCCAGGTATGGTGCCGTAGGCGTAGTGCGCGTTCGGTGCGCCGAGCGAATGACCATCGATACTGTTCGAGCTTGGCCCAATGTTCAGATTGATAATCGGTGACGACGAGTCTTTAAGCGCGTCTGGGCTTTTCCTATCATGTTTTTTCCGCCTCATGCGCATTAGATCTTTGTGCGAAAAGTCTTCGTCTTCCTCATCGTTACGCAGAACGAAAAAGCCCTCCACAAGGCTAGGAAAGTACTCAGCGTCGTCATCCGAGGCACCCCCCCAACCCTTGAATACGAAAAAGCCTTTTTCTTCGTCATACGTATACTCCCGCAGCGACGCAGGGTCACAAGATTTGTAGAAGAGGCGGCAGCTGAGCTCGTTTAACACTGCGAGAAAATGCAGCATCGCAGCTTCGTTTCGAGCCTCGTCTTCGAGCTCGAACACGTCTTGGATTGAGTTGGACGCCTCAACGACCAGCCTGCTCAGTAAGTCTGCGAACGCCACGTCGACGTGTGGAGCGCCGAGCGCAAGCTGCGCGCAGCAGAGCAAGCACAGCGAAAGACTGAGCCAAACGGATCTCATTTTACAAGTGGGTCACAAGTTGTGGCCCAATCCAGAAAACTACGCTCTTCCGAGAAAGGTTCCGAACGCGTCCGAGACGAGGTTCGGCCGGATGCCGAACAGCATCGGGATCGGAATCTTCGAAAGGTTCACTCTGCTGTTCCACGCGTACTTGAATTTGCCGAGCGCAACGCCAAAGTTAAGGTTACGTTTGTCGGCGGACTGGCCGTTTATGCCCATGTTAATGCCGAAATTCCTCAGCCCCAGACTTCCGCTCAGCTCGGGCACCCCGTTGCTGCCAATACCGAACCCAGCGTTGACCTTCGCGGTTTTATTATCGCTGAAGCCGACTGATGTCCTGATGGCTTTGGATCTAGCGTCGGGCATGTCGCTCTGGAAATACAGCTCCCATCGCGACTTGTTATCGGCGCCCGGCAGTTTTGTGCGCAGCTCGAGCACGCGGTCGTCGACGTCAAATAGTGCCGTCGCGTAGCTGTTGCCCACGCCGACTCCTGCGGAGTAACGGTTCGCCATCACGTCAGTGCCGACGTTCACGTACTTGTTTCCCCAATTGACGAAAGCTTCGGATGCCGCCTTGGTCGGGTCGGGGTGGATATGCTGATCGAAGTCGTGACGCACTCCAATCTCTTTATCTTTGTAGCGAAACTTCATGCCGTAGTTACGGTCGAGCAAGTTCGCGGCAGTGCCGACAGTGACATTGTTAACCTTGACTTCGGTGCCGACAGCATTCTGGTCGTTTTCACGGTACACTCGCA